ATGCTAACAGGGAAATATGTGGGTTGCTTTCCTCTTAATTAGCACGTACTTGTATCAGATATTTGGAGAATTATAAGAATGCATTTTCAATCCTACAAACAAAAGGTTATTTTATTTTATTTTATTTTTTTGAGTTGGAGTCTCACTCTGTCGCCCAGACTGGAGTGCAGTGGCCGCTCCCGGCCACCGCAGCCTTGACCTGCTGGGCTCCGGCGATCCTTCCGCCTCAGCCTTCCAAGTAGCTGGAATTACAGGCATGCGCTACCATGCCCGGCTGATTTTTTGATTTATTGTAGAGATGAGGTCTCGCTGCCCAGGCGGGTCTCGAACCCGCGGGCTCAGGCAATCCACTCACCTCAGCCTCCCAAAGGCGCGGGATTACAGGCTGAGCCACCGAGCCCGGTTTAAAAGGTTATTTTAAAAAATGTTTCAATAGCTGCAAAAGCACAAGGTTACCTACCACCTATTTCACAGCCTTCATCTTTTCTCAAGGAAACCACACTGTATTTTCATTTTAATTCAAACAAGATCAGGAAAAGCATTAGAACAGCTCTCCTTACCAAGACATCCTCATTCTCCATAAGGCAGCAGTCTACCTGTTTTCTTTCATGAAATGAAAGATTATTGCATAAAACCAAAGTATGTCATGACTACAAGAGGCTAATCACAAGGATACAAAGAGGGTTCAACATTTTAAAAAGTCAGTCAATGTAATTCATCATATTAAAAGATTAAAGAAGAAAAACTCAATAGATGCTGAAAAGCTTTGATAACATTCAGGATCCATTGATTTAAAAAAACCAAAAAAACTCAGCAAACTAGGAATAGAAGGAAGCTTCCTTAATCTAATAAAGGGCATTTACAAAAAGCCAAACATCTCACATGATGCTTCATGAGGAACAACTGAATGCTTTCCCCCAAAGATCGAGAACAAGGCAAGGACATCTATTCTCACTATTCCTGTCCACTGAACTGAAGTCCTACCCAGTGAATTAAGACAAGAAAAAAAATAAGTCATTCAGATTGGAAAGGAAGAAAAAAACTCTATTTGCAAATGGCATAGCTGTCTATGTAGCTAGCTATGTTACCTAGGCTGGTCTCTAACTCCTGGGTTCAAGCAATCCTCCTACCTCACCCTCCCAAAGTGCTGGGATTACAGGTGTGAGCCACCACACTCGGCCTACAACTGTGCCACACTTTAAAAACCTCCTAAAACTAAATGGCTGAGCAAGGTCACAGGATACAAGGTCAATATACAAAAGTCAATTGTATATCTATATGCTAGCAATCAGCAATTGAACATTATTTTTTTAATTAGTGTACCATTTACAACAGCACCAAAAACCCATTAACTACTTAGGAATAAATCTAACTAAATATGTACAAGGTCTATATAGTGAAAACCACAAAACATTTTTTAAAAAATCAAAGACCAAAATAAACTGTGAAAAAAATTATATTCCTGAGTCGGAAGACTCAATGTTATGATGCCAGTTCTCCCCAAACTGATATTCAAATTAATCACAATTAAAATATCAGCAGGATTGTTTGTAGATAACAACAAGCAGATTGAAAAGTTTATATGTAGCTAGGCGCAGTGGCTCAATCTGTAATCCCAACACTTTGGGAGGCTGAGGCAGGAGGATTGCTTGAGGCCAGGAGTTCAAGACCAGCCTGGGCAACAAAAAAATAGAAAAATTAACCAGGCGTGGTGGCACGTGCCTGTAGTCTCAGCTATTGGGGACATTGATGCAGGAGGATCGCCTGAGCTCAGGAGGTCAAGGCTGTTGTGAGCCGTGATTGTGCCACTACACTCCAGCCTGGGTGACAGTGAGACCCTGTCTCAAAAATAAAATAAAATAATAAATAAAAATGTGTATGTAAATGCTAGAGAATAAAAATAGCCAGAACAGTTTTGAAAAATGATAAATTGGAGGACTTACATTCCCTGATTTAAAAACTGAACATGAAACTATGGTGGTAAAGAAGTGTGATACTGGAGAAAAGACAGACACACAGATGAAGGAAACAGGACAGAGAGCCCAGAGACAGACCCATGCACATATGTGGTTCATTGATTTTTGACAAAAGTACAAAGGCAATTCTGTGGAGAGTGTTTAGTCTTTACTACAAAGTGGTGGGACAACTGGACACCCACAAGCAAAAGAAAGTGAACCTCAACCCATACTTGCACCTTAATACAAAATTAACCAAAATATTGATCTTAGACCAAAATGTGAAATTTAAAACCACAGAATTTCTAGAAGAAAGCATATGAGAAAATCTTTGTGACCTTGAATTAGGCAAAGATTTCTTAGATATGACACAATCCATAAAATATACTGATAAAACGAACTTTTAGAACTTAGTCTTGTGGAAGAAACTATTAAGAGAAAAACAAAAAAGACTGGGAAAGGATATTTGAAAATTAAATATTTGATAAAGGACTTTATCCTGAATATACAGAGAACTCTAAAACTCATTAAGAAAGCAAATAAGCCAGGCTCGGTGGCTCAGCCTGTAATCCTGCGCCTTTGGGAGGCTGAGGTGAGTGGATTGCCTGAACCCGCGGGTTCGAGACCCGCCTGGGCAACTTGGCGAGACTTCATCTCTACAATAAATAAAAAAATGAGCCGGGCGTGGTAGCGCATGCCTGTAGTTCCAGCTACTTGGAAGGCTGAGGCAGAAGGATCGCCGGAGCCCAGCAGGTCGAGGCTGCGGTGGCCGGAAGCAGTCACTGCACTCCAGTCTGGGTGACAGAGACTCCAACTCAAAAAAAAAAAAAGAAAGCAAATAACCTGATTTTTTAAATATGCAAAAGCTTTGACAGACACTTCACTAAACAGGATATATGAATGGTAAATAAGCACAATAGAGAGAGGCATGATTAGTCATTAAGAAAATGCATATTGAAAACCACGAGATGCTACTTCACAGCTATTATAATATAGTTAAAATTCAAAATGTAACAACACCAAGTGATGGAGAAGATGAAAACCAGCTGGAACATTCATGCATTGCCAGTGAGAATGTAAGACGATTCATCCACTCTGGAAAACAGTTTGGCAGTTTCATATAAAGTTAAACATATGTTTACTCTATGACCCAGCCATCCCACACCTGTTTACCCAAGAAGAATAAGAACTTTTTTCACCCCCCTAAAACTGTACACAATGTTTACAGTGGCTTTCCTTGTAATCATCAAAAACGTGAAAGAATCCAAATATCCTAACAGGTGAATGAATAAACTATAGTGCATCCATACAAAAATGAGCAAACTACTGATATGACAACATAGAAGACTCTAAATGCATTGCTAAGTAAAGAAGTCAGTACTAAAGGTTATGTGCTGTATGATGCCATTTATACGACATGCTGGAAAAAAAATATAAGAACAGAAAACGAAACAGGGATTGCCAAAGAGGGGTTGGAAGTGTGTGAGGGGCTGATTACAAAGGGATAGCACAAGGGAAATTTGGGGGGCACAAAACCTTTTGGTATCTTAATGGCAGTAGTAATTATACAACTGTTTGCTTTTAGAACTGGACACAAATAGAGTCAGTTTTATTGTAAGTAAATTTTTTAAAAAGTGAATAAAGTGGAAGTGAAACAAACCAGAAATGCTACTATGTGTTAGTTCTGAGACTCAGACCTGCCAGTGATAGTAAGAGTCTCCTTAGCAGGAGACAAATTATTCATGGAGAGGAAATTACACTTGCTCTTCAAAATGTACAGAGGAGGAGGGGAGGAGAGAGAAGCCTGTGAGAACCAAGGAAACATGGTAAATACTTTGACTGGGCTCTTAAATTGTCAGTCTTTATATGTATGATTTCCCATAAATAGCAATGCAAATATTTTATACTTAAAATTTTAGCCTTTTAAAGACTCATGTTTTTTAAAATTTGCTTTGCAAAGATCAAGTCTCAAAGATATTGTCTAGGATAAACAATGTTTCATCTGTGGTGAGGAGTGCTGTCATCTTCCAGGCATCATACATATTTCAGTATTTTACCATCTAGTGAAATCATCCACCTGCTGACTCCTGATTTTTTAATGATAAAGTTGGCATTACTGGGCTCCAGGAAGCTTTACACTGGGCATACCCTTCTAACTATGAAATGTCACTTAACATTATCCTATGTCAGTATGCAACTGTCCACACAAGGGACAGTGGAATAGAAGAATTTCATTTTCAGATCAGATTTCCTAAGATACTGGATCCAAAATCTTTTTAATAGAGTCCACTTCTGCTATAATTGGGTCACCCACACATCATCCTCTTGGCTTTCATAATCAACTAATAGGTTTATTTCTCTGGGTTTATCAGCTCCTGTATATCATGCTAAATGATTTCATCCTTATAAAGAAAAAGACATATGCATCTGGAGTCAGACCATATTAGAAACACAATTTCAAATTACAATTGAGAGTTTGCAAAATAAATTCAGATTAAATTTAAAACAAAATTTTTGGAAAGTATTTTTTAATGGATGTATGTTATAACGTTATCAAGAATAGTCAGTGAATAATGAATGTTTCATATCAACATACTAGGTGGATGTCTGTCCAAGACTTCTGAGTGATGCTCACAGTCATTTGTACCCATTATCCTGAGATTAAAATATCACTGGATGGACCCTCATAGAATAAACTGAATTAGATCCATCATTGCTTTTCTTTTTTTCTTAAGAGAAAATAGGTTGAAAAGATAGATCAGGAATCAGTGGCATTTGCTGCCAAGCCTCTTGTTTGTGAGGCAGACATGGCAATTTTGGAAATAACCGAACAGGTAAGGTGTGTGGGCCAGAGTGAGATCAGAGGCCAGGTTGACTCTGGTTGACTCCTGGAGCTATTATGAATCCTGGGCAGGGTCCTGAGGCCTAACCTGCACAGATTTCCCTTTCTTGAAAAAACAATGGATTGATAAATAAACGGAAGTGTAACCCAAAGTCTAACATTGAATTTTCAGAATGAAATTATAACATCCTAATTTCATGCAGGAATGGACAGACCACAAATTACGCTGGAATCCTGATGAATATGGTGGAATTCATTCAATTAAAGTTCCATCCGAATCTCTCTGGCTTCCTGACATAGTTCTCTTTGAAAAGTAAGTGTCACAGAAGAAAACTATATTGGTCCAATAAACACTAGGAATAGAAAAGTCTGACTCCGGCAAAGTAATTAAGAGAAATATTCTACTTTAAGTAACAAAATAGTTATTTATTTTTAAATGATTGTTTGACATTTCAGTAGGAAGGTAATGAAATGCAAGTAGTACAATGCTAGGAAAAACAAAAACAAAAAACCAAACTAGTACGTTCTCAACTAATGGTGAAAGTGAAATTCCTTTGATTGCAGCGCAGATGGACGTTTCGAAGGCTCCCTTATGACCAAGGTCATAGTGAAATCCAATGGCACCGTCATCTGGACCCCTCCTGCTAGTTATAAAAGCTCCTGCACCATGGATGTCACATTTTTCCCGTTTGACCGACAGAACTGCTCCATGAAGTTCGGATCCTGGACTTATGACGGTACCATGGTTGACCTCATCTTGATCAATGAAAACGTCGACAGAAAAGACTTCTTTGATAATGGAGAATGGGAAATACTCAACGCAAAGGGGATAAAGGGAAACAGGAGAGACGGCTTATACTCATATCCGTTTATCACATATTCTTTCGTTCTGAGACGCCTGCCTTTGTTTTACACTCTCTTTCTGATCATCCCCTGCCTAGGGCTGTCTTTTCTGACAGTTCTTGTGTTCTACTTGCCTTCTGATGAGGGAGAAAAACTCTCATTATCAACGTCTGTCCTGGTCTCTTTGACAGTTTTCCTTTTGGTGATTGAAGAGATCATCCCATCTTCTTCAAAAGTCATTCCTCTCATTGGAGAGTACCTCCTGTTCATCATGATTTTCGTGACCCTGTCCATTATTGTTACGGTTTTTGTCATTAACGTCCACCATAGGTCTTCCTCTACTTACCATCCCATGGCCCCCTGGGTGAAGAGGCTCTTTCTGCAAAAACTTCCAAAATTGCTTTGCATGAAGGACCACGTGGAGCGCTACCCTTTCCTAGATCAAGAGGAGAGTCCACCAGTAGCGAAAGGTAAAGTCCTAGAAAAAAAGAAACAGAAACACTTCAGCGATGGAGAGAAGGTTCTGATTGCTTTCTTGGAAAAGGCTGCTGATTCCATTAGATACATCTCAAGGCAAGTGAAGAAAGAGCATTTTATCAGCCAGGTGAGTAAACTGATATGCATAACAACACTGCCATTGAAAGCTGCCAGAGACTCACCTTTTGACATATTACAACAAAATGCTCTCATGGTTTAGAATGTGATGTTTGTTACTAGATGTAGCTTTACACATACTCTATTAAAACAAGTCCTGACATAAAATAAGGATTTTAGTTTGAATTTTTACAAGATAGTTTATAAAAACATAATGAGCAAAAGTAAAGTAGCTATAGATTAAGCGCAAGTTCTTACAGTTAGCTCCAATTCTGTTTTAAATAATTCAGTTATAGATTTTAAGTTGGTTTTCCTGGTCTCTGGTAATTTACCTCTCATTTTTCATGGGATTTATAGATATATTCATCCACAGTATTTAGAAATAAAAGACCATAAGGAATCTGATTTTAAAATTAATATAAAATTTAGTGTTACAGTAGATACTTTGATGGGGAAAGAAGATGAGGCTACTTAGTTCACAGATTTAAAAACAAAAACAAAAAACATGAAGGAAGGGTGTGGATTTTAGACTCAAGGCAGTCCTGGGCTCAGATTGCACTCCTGTGTGACTTGAGACAAATTGCTTAACTTGAGCTTTCATTTTCTGAAACCTACCCTTAAAAGATTACTGTGAGGAATAAAAGACATAAAATACCAAATGTGCACAGTGTGCCTAGTACATATAGGCTCAGCGTCATGATTATGTAAGCAGTCAATGAATGTTAATTCTCATCTTTATCTTTATTCTAAATGGTCATTTCCCAATGGAATAAAAAAGACTCTGGCAATCCTTCCGCCTCAGCCTTCCGAGTAGCCAGAATTACAGGCGTGCGCTACCACGCCCGGCTGATTTTTTGATTTATTGTAGAGATGAGGTCTCGCTGCCCAGGTGGGTCTCGAACCCATGGACTCAGGCCATCCACTCACCTCAGCCTCCCAAAGGCGCAGGATTATAGGCTGAGCTACCAAGCCCGGCTAAAAAAATTTTTTTTTGAGTCAGGTTCTCACTCTGTCACCCAGGCTGGAGTGCAGTGACATACTCACGGCTCACTGCAACCTTGGCTTCCTGGGCTCAAGCAATCCTTCTGCCTTGACCTCCAAATAACTAGGACTACAGGTACATGGTATCATGCCTGGCTAATTTACTGATTTTTTTTTGTAGAGACAAGGTCTCACTATGTTGCCCAGACTGGTCTCAAACTCCTGGGCTCAAGTGATCCTCCTGCCTTGGCCTCCCAAAGCGCTGGGATTACAGGTGTGGGCCTCTGCACCTGGCCAAAAATATTATTTGATATACAAATATTCACTGTAAAATGTGTTAGTTGTTTAAAACATGCTACATATTTTCACCAATTTACAGGGTTCAGTTATTTTACTCTCATACTGGTGAAAATTAGTGCCAAGAGCCTGCTCCCATAAACAAACTTATGAGTTTTTGTTGTTGTTGTTTTTCAGAAACATCCTACTACATTTTATCTTGCCTTCACAGATCCTGCTTTGTATATCCTTCTTCCTAATGGTTTGTCACATTTTTTATCCACTTAAAAAATATTTTAAGGACTAGAAAAATGACTGCTGCCATAGAAATCACATTCAGGCCAGGCTCATTGACTCAGCCTATAATCCCAGCACTTTGGGAGGCCAAGGCGAGTGGATTGCCTGAGCCCGTGGGTTCAAGATCAGCCCCAGCAACCTGGCGAGACCTCGTCTCTACAATAAATCAAAAATTAGCCGGGTGTGGTAGTGCATGCCTGTAGTTCTGGCTACTTGGAAGGCTGAGGTGGAAGGATTGCCGGAGCCCAGCAGGTTGACGCTGGGGTGACTACAAGTGTCCCACTGCATTCCAGCCTAGGTGACAGAGTGAGACTCCAACTCAAAAAAAAAAAGAATGCGTATTCAGCTATTAGGTTGGGAGGTTTTCTTATTTGTTTCTTCACATCTTTTACAAATGCTAATATGGGGAGACTCATCAGAAGCCCATTCCTCACCACCACACAATATACCTACGTAACAAATCTTCACATGTACTCCTTAACTCTAAAGTAAAATAAAATTAATTAAAAACAAAACAGATAGATAAAAATACTAACAAATATTTGGATAGTTTTTAGAACAAAAGTTATAAGGGTAACAAAAGATCAGCATAGGAAATTTGAAAAATACAAGGTAGTCTAAATAAGATTAAAATAATTAATAATCCTTTTAACATGTTTAACATTTTGATCTATCTTCTTGTGTTTTTTCCCAAAAATTTTATTTCTGACCTCTGTAAGTACAAAATACATTCAGGTTCTGTTCCAGTAACAACTTCATATCTACCTGCCCCCAGGACAGGCCTCCTGTCCTGTTCCATTTCTACAAAATCCCCACATAGAAACAAGACATCTATTTTCTCTTTAAAAAATGAGTACTTAGGCTGGGTGCAGTGACTCAAGCCTATAATACCAGCACTTTGGGAGGACAAGGGTAGAGGATTGCCTGAGCCCAGGGATTTGAGACCAACCCGGGCAACTTGGTGAGACCTTGTCGCTACAATAAATCAAAAAATTAGCTGGGCATGGTGGCACGTGCCTGTGGTTCCAGCTACTTGGAAGGCTGAGGCGAAAGGATCACCTGAGCCCAGCAGGTCAAGGCTGCGGTGGCTGTGAGCATGCCACTGCACTCCAGCCTGGGCAACAGAGTGAGACTCCAACTCAAAAAAATAAAAATTTTTAAAAAAATGAGGACTCCCCCCTTTCAGATGTCACTTGCCTGCCAGCCTGCTTCTGCTCTGGGTTTGCCCTTTGGGACCTATGACCTGCTCCCCCGGCTCCCCTTCCTAACACTGGGGACTTGGTCTCCTCTTACCCTGATGACTTCCTGTCTTCACCTGGTCAGTTCTCTTCCTGGGCAGTGTCCTTCCTTCTGGAGCTGCAACAGCCAGACCCACACATGGAGTAGAAGAAAAGAAAGTCTGTGACAACTGGTCACAGATATTTTTAAGTTATACACTTGTGATTTATTTCATATGCATATCAGAAAGTATTTATGTCATACTTATATCCCTGTAGGATATACTAGCTTTTTATTTGTGTAAAAATAAGCCTTTTCCCATTCCGATTGGTAATGTTTACAGTGTATCAACACTACTGTTGCTATTTTACTTTTTCAATGTTGATGTAAGCATTCCTATATACCTGATGTATGAGCTGTTTTCTTTGGGCACTGTCAGTGAAGTCCCCAGGAAGAACCTGGGCCTGTGCTGTGGGTGACATGTCAGGTGTGTTATGCAATGTAAGTGCTATAAGTCTCAATATTACTCTTTTTAAATTCCTTGAAATGAATTCAGAACAGTTGCCCAGCATTTGGAATGAAAGCCTTTTCTTTCTTTCCTTTTTGTCTTTTGCAGGTGGTACAAGACTGGAAATTTGTAGCTCAAGTTCTTGACCGAATCTTCCTGTGGCTCTTTCTGTTCGTGTCAGTTACAGGCTCAGTTCTCATTTTTACGCCTGCTTTGAAGATGTGGCTACACAGTTACCATTAGAAACAAGTCTCCAGAGCAATTTAAAAAACATACTATAGAGACAAAAATCACACAACTTGGAACTTGCCACTACCAACTGGTAGCATGTGTATAGAATCCAAATGCACTGGCTTGTTCTAGACCAGACTGTGTAGTCTTCATGGAAATGAAACATCTCTTGATTGGGGAATCCCTGGTAAATGTGCATTTGCCCAAGTTAATTTATGGTTGTCTTGAGAGTCAGTTGGCTTTTCACTTTTGTTTTTTTTTAAAGTGAGCAGAGATTTTTTTTTTTTTTTGGCTTACAGTTCTGGAGGTTGGGAAGTCCAAGCGCAAGAGACTGGCTTCTGGCAAGGGCCTTCTTGCTGAGTCTTAACATCAAGGAAGTCATTGCATGGCTACAGAGATAGCAAGAGAGGCCAAACTTGCTTTTATAGCAAACCCAGTAACCTGCAGTAACATTAATCCATTAAAGGCCTCACATCTTAACACTGTTGCATTGCATTGGAGATTAAGTTTCCAACACATAAACTATGGGGGACACACTCAAACCACAGCACCCATTATCTCACAGCTCAGGGCACTGAGCACAGACTGAGCAAGCCCTGGAAAGGGGGCAGGATCCAGCACAATATGCCCACAGCCCTCCTTGTCTGTGTCAAGAATCCCAGGAGAACCAGGAGAACTGGGCTAAAATGAAGAGTTGGTCTTACAGTGCTGGGAAACCATGCTATCCAAAATAAGCCAGGAAAATTCAGATAATGTCTGTTGTAACACCAGAATGATGCCTACTCATTTGTTTAGGCACCAACTAAACCCAACAAAATAGAAATAGCCATTCCAAGTTCACAGTCTTTGACTCAGACTGTTAAGAGATAACATTGATTTCATAAAAATCAATTTTTTTTAGTTGGGGTCTCACTCATCACCCAGGCTGGAATGCAGTGGCACAATCACTGCATTTTACAGATGAAACCAGAATGTACTGTGAGTTGTGATTTGTTTTAAGGTTATACTAAAATAACTTACAACAGAAACAAAATCGTCCACTGCCAGCAGCACATTCATTCATACCCATCATGCTCTCCTCTCAATTAAGGTACTGAGCACTCTCTGATGATGTTTTCTGAGTCACTTCGTCTGTTTATGTCCATTCCAGTAGTGTCCTCAAGGCCTCCCACTCTGCTTCCTGAGTCCCCCGATCCTGGGGATGCTGCATGCCACCCCATTCCTTCTCTAGACACTGAAGGTACACCCACTGGGGTTCTCTAGGCCCTCCAAAATTGCTGCAGCTGCCAAATCCTTCAGCTTAAAGCAATTATCTCCTCACCCAGTCATAAATCCAGTCCCCTATGGGGAGAACTTTATTTTAACCATAGCTCTTGCCAGCAGTTTGTGGCTAGGACTTTAAAAACCCAGTCTTAGACCAGGTGCGGTGGCTCACGCCTATAATGCCAGCACTTTGGGAGGCCAAGGTGAGAGGATTGCCCGAGCCCATGGGTTTGAGACCAGCCTGGGCAACTTGGTGAGACCTCATCTTTACAATAAAACAAAAAAATAAAAAACAAAAAACCCAGTCTTAGCACTTAACCCCTTCATGTGTGTCATTACTGATATGTCTTATTCATGTCATGGACTTATTTGTGTCACTGACTCGTCTTATTCATGTCATGTAGCTTTGTGTTCTCTGTATAATTTTCCCTGTCCTTTAGCTTTTCCCCCTTTTTTTCTGCCTTCGCTGAGTTTATCTGTTTCTGTTTCTCTTTTTCCTTTAATGGTTTAAACATTATGCATTCACTTCTATTAATTTATTAATAACCATATTCAAATGTCATAAGCAATGTGAAGATCTGGTGTTCATTGTTTCTGCTTCCACATAAAACAATTACTGCAGCACCTTCTGTACCCCTGCCCTTACATTATTTTTATCACCTTCTGTGTTTCCTCTGAATCACCCAGAATTTTAGTTCCAGATAATTAACTTTTTTATTATGTATCCTTTTCTTAAGAATCATTAATTGACAATCCATTTTGTCCACAATCACATTATAAACAATTTCACTGCTTTGTTCACCACTGTTTATTATCCTAAGTTTTCCTCTTTCTCTGCTTCACTTGTTTTGTCATTTCAGACAAATATGTCTTCAAGTAATTCTTTTAGGAAGGTTTTGAGTACAGTAATCTTTCTGAATCCTTGCATTTATGAATTGTAATTTTTTGCCCTTGAACTTGAATAATAGATTGGCTGAGCATGGAATTCCAGTTCATCAAAACTATTTTCCCTCAGAACTCTAAAGAGATTATTTTATAATATTCTCTGCTATAGATGAGAAGTTTGGTGAGAGATGATTCTCATTCTTTATTTCTGCAGATTCCTGCAGGGTTTTAGTTTCCTGGTTAGTGATAAGAGGTTATGACCCGTGACGTTTGAATTCTCCCTTTCTCTGAGATCCTATCTTTTGGAGATTTATACTGGAGCTTTCACACTTGTTATTTATTTTATTTATTTATTTTAAATATGAAAATATAGTTTATTTAAAAAGTAGATTAGAGAGAGAGAAGAGAGAGGAGATTCACCTCTCCAAGTTAAGAGGGGGACCAAAGTTTAGAAAACATGGTAGTGGCCATAGCCCAAAGAGCACATGACCACACCAGAGTTTATAAAGTAAAGCAATGGTCAACTTTCACACTTTTTAAACCACACAACTTCTAATTGTAATTTGTGCCTTAGGGAAAATATAATTTTAATCTTCCTTATTACTACTTTAGGTCAGGATTTGCAGGAATATATTGTGATGAAAATCAAGGATTCCTGCCTTAAGTCCTTGACTGGATTGTGGATTAAATATGGTTTGGATGTCATCCCCTCCAAGTCTCCTGTTGAAATGTGATCCCCAGTGTTGGAGGTGGGGCCTATTGGGAGGTGATTGGATCACGGGGGCGGGGTCCTTGTAAATGGCTTGGTCTTCATGGTAATGAGTGAGTTCTCACCCTATTAGTTCACACAAAAGTGAGTTATTTAGAGAGGCCTGGAACCTCCTCCTCCTTCTCCTCTCTTGCTCCTGTTCTCACCAAGTGACATGCCTGCTCCCCTTGCCTTTCAGGAGTAAAAGCTTCCTGAAACCTCACCAGAAGCCAAGCAAATGCCAGCACCATACTGAACCATGAGCCTATAATCCTCTTTCTTTTATAAATAACCCAGGCTCAAGTATTCCTTTATAGCAATGCAATATGTTTATTTAAAAAGTAAATTAGAGAGAAAGAAGAGAGAGGAGATTCACCTCTCCAAGTGAGAGGATTCAAAGGGGCAAGTCACCTTTCTTCTCACTTTTAGTGAGAATACTATTGACTTTAACTCTTTGCTTAACTTTAACCCATGAGTTTTCTAGGTAAATGATGTTAAACTCAGACCATCAAAAGGGTAGGAATCTAGTTTAAAGAGAGTTTGCTCAAGAACACAGGTTGAGATCAGTTTGCCCAGGAAACAGTTTCCAAAGAAGAGAGGTTGGTGTTCCCAGTATAGAAGTGTTGGATTGTTTATACAGATAAAACTTAGAGAAGCTTAACTGAATTTCAGCATCTTCCTATGCAAGGCTTAATATATAGTTACAATGATCTCTTAAGCTGAGGTGGTCCTTTTCTTTGGGGAAAGGTACATTTAATGTTCCACACTGAAGATGATCATCTGGGGTGAGTTAGTTAGTTTGGGTGCCATTTGGTCTGAGTTAGGTACAGGACAACAAAGGAGACGGCTAATCTATAAAAAAGATCAGTGATTGGAAGGGGCAGTCTGGTCTCTGGTCTTTCCTGGTCATTTGCAAAACAAGAATGGTGAGGAAGAGCTTTCCTACCTGCTAAGAAACAGAATTGCAAGCCTGCGATATGGCTCAGATCACACCCCATCTCTCTCAAGGCTTAAAATGTTTGGGAGTTCCAACAGCCTTTAAATTTTCTTTATTTTCAATACAGAATATTAGAAAAAACAATATGAATATTAGAAAAAAAATGTGTTGAGATCTGAATTCGGTTTTAAATTTTGAAAACACATCAACATGAGTGTGAGCTCCTCAGGAGCCTGAAGCAGGAGAACTGCTTGAAGTCAGGAGGGTGAAGTTGCAGGGAGCTATAATCGAACCACTGCACTCCAGTCTGGTCAATGAGAGAGAGATCCTGACTCAAAGAATTTAAAAAAGAAAGAACAGCAGCATGAAAAACTATCTACAGCAAGCTTCTTTCTGATGTGCATTCAGCCATGGGGTTGGGGAGGATGGCAGCAGCTTTAAACACAGAAAAGGGTAGTACTCGTGCGTTATAATAACCCCTAAGAAAATAACTACAAAGGATAGCTTTGAAGCAAAAGAATGCTAATTTCAAATGCACAGCAAGAAAAATCCATGGGCAAAATTTGCCAGCTAATTCCAGCCAGCAGATATCGCAAGACCTATCCTGCTCTGTGTCCCACGTGTGAGCATGGGGACAGGCACGTGCCTGGGCATGCACATGTGGGGCTACAAGGGGCCATCCTACCCAGTTCTCACCCTTCAGATGTCTGCCCACATCCCACTTCCTCCTGCCTTCACAGAACCTGCTGAGCTCCCTGCCTTCAAAGACTCGTGGCATTTCAGTCTACACCGTAGGGTTTAGAGTATCATGGTTCTCTGTTATTTTATTAAGTGAGCCGATTCCCTTTGCTATCCCAACATATCTCCATGATAGCTCCAACAGTATCTTATACAGCTGAGTACACAGTCAAAACTTAGTTCGTATATGTTGGTTAATTAAACCTGATGCAAGAACCTTAAGATTGGGTTGTCTAACATATTGTCCCAATATTTCTAGCTATATGTGTATGCATGTAAATTTCAGTATGCACCTTAAAAAAACATTATGTTACATTACAATTTTTCCAAAATAATATTATCATACTTAGCAAAATTATTAATTCCACATTCAAGTTTCCCTGTCTTGAAAATATCTTAATAGTTAACTTGTCTAAAATGGGATGCAGACCAAAGCTATATTGTTGTGCCTCTTAAATCTATTTTAATCTGTTTCTTGGCACTGGTTTGTTGAAAGGACTAAGTTGGTTTTCCCCGAGAATATCTCACTTTTTGGATTTTGTCTGGTTGCTTGCTTCTGGTGTCATTTAGCTTATTCCTCTATCTCCTGTACCCTGTCATTCTGGTTCAAAATTTTTATTGGGAATACATTATAGATGGTAAGGCAGAGTTCATGTTGTACCATAAAGAGGACACAATCTGGCTCTCTCATCATTAGTGTTCAGATTAGTCCCTGGACTAAGGTGATGCTGCAAGCTCTCCACTGTATCTAGTGGTAAGTTTTGTGGCCATAACACAGAGAAAAGTTACCATGACTTACCTATGACCTTGGTCCCTTTGGAGATGCTGTCTAACCTGCTCCACTGGAACACCATCATTTCCAAAGAGCAATGCTTTTATGTTGGGATGGACCTTTTGGTGATGTCAAAATTCTTTCTCTGAAGTAACTACTATTATCTATTAAAATTAGTTCATTTAATCAACAGCCATGATGACTACTATGTATGTTTAACCTGGCATGTATTTCTTCTTTGTATTAAGATTTTCTGTTCAGTATGTCAATAAAATAAGGGTAAACATAAAAGTAACATTGTGTATTTGGCTCATGGACATAATATTAGGTTTGGGAAAACCAGGCGAGAGCAGTTGTGCATTGATGTGGATCATCACACCTCCAGGCTGGGTTGGCCATCATGGGGCAGGGCAGCTGGCTGCTGCAGAGTTAGACATGTCCCATCTCCCCAACCCCTGAATGCTTAAGGAAGGACTCAGCTCTGGGCAACAAGAGGTCCAGCCAGGTCAGAGGATCACAGCATCAAACGGAAAGAAGAGTAAAAGTTATTAACTCAGGCCACCTTCTAAAAACAACCCTGTGAGAAAGGCACCATTATCATCCCAGTTTTATGGATGCAGGTCTTCCTCATCGGCAAAGTCCTCCCTCAGGGAAACCAAAAGAGTGGAGAAGAGTTCCCTCTCCTTTTCTCTGGTGGGTAGGTGGGAGGGTAGAAGCTTCTCCTACCAAAAAGTGCCTTGTGAGGTATGCAGGGTATTCATGAGACTACTCAGCGTGTGTCTTCTCAGGCCTTTCTCTCAAACGAATATCCTCTAGAAGGTTCTGATGTTTCACAGGGGATCTTATGGTCACTTTGATGGGGAAATTCTACATTGGCCTGTCCCCACACACTGCAGAGTGCCATGCATCCCTAACCCCAAGGCCCTCAGTGTCAATAGCACACCAGTCATTGACAACCAAAATGCCCTTCTAGACACTTCCAACACCAACTGGAAATTGTGAACGTGTGTGTGTGTGTGTGTGTGTGTGTGTGTGTGTGTGTGTGTGTAAATGGGTACAATCACATCTCCAGTTGATAATAACTGTATACAGGTTGCTATAATACAAAATACCATGGACTAGGTAGCTTACAAACAACAGGAATCTATTTCTCACAGTTCTGGAAGCTGGGAAAGCCAAAACCAAGGTGCTGGCAGATCTGATGTCTGGAGAGGGCCTACTTCCTGGTTCATAGGTGGCACCTTCTTCCTGAGTCCTTACATGCTGAAGGGGGTGAGGGAATGTTCTGGGTCTCTTTTATAAGGGCACTAATCCCATCCATGAGGACTCCAGACTCATGACCCAATCATTTCCCAAAGGCTCCACCCACTAACACCATCAACTTGGAGTTCAGGATTTTCACATGATTTGAGGAGGACACATATACTAAGTCTACTGTAGCTAGGTATGCTGAACACTGAAATGATAATTCCAACATCAACAGGGGGACAGGAAAGGGAAGGTGCTCAGATGTGCCCCTGTTCTTATAGCCTCATCTCTTTCTAATACCCTAGGCCTTGGGGAGGTTGGAGTTGGGCAGGATATCCTAAATAGATGCTCTCCAGCCCTCAGGCAGCACCTCCATGGTTCTCAGCCTCCCACTTCTGCCTCCCACTTCCTGCTGTCCTCTCCTTCTCCACCTTCCCCAGCTGGCAGTCCTCCTTCCACCAGGCTCAACTCCCTCTTGTATGACCTCATCCCATAAATGGGATCAAGCCCCAGTATGCTTAGCCAAAGACTGCCAACTCACAATCCTGTACACATTTTCATTTTTCTTCTTCTTTTTTTTAAACTCACCACTATACAAATGAGGGTGCATGCAAGTTTGTTAGGCTGTCAGAGGCTTTATTTTTGTTCCTTAACTTAGTTTCCATATTTCAAATCTAGGAGATTTTATATCAAAAGCTAAATTTTCAGTTTCTGTTGTAAGTCAGAAGATAAAGTCCCGAGGCCACATCCCAGCGTGAGGGCATTGCAATAGAGCCCGGTGTGCGACATCAGCCTTCCCGTGGGCACACTGGAAGCCCCGTAATGGAGCTCACCCTAGCCATACCCCTTTGACAACTGCTAATGTCAATGATTTTTTTCCCTCTAGTCACCTTCTGCTGCCTCTGTCAAGGGAAATGTGAATTAAAGTATAGTTAGGAAAAGAAACCCTAGGCGGATAAGCAGTCATTGTTTAATGGGAATACATAGTTTCAGTTATGCAGGATGAAGAGTTGTGGAAATGGATGGAAGTGAAGATTGCAAAGTAATGTGAATGTATTTAATACCACTGACCTGTATACTTTAAAATGATTAAAATGGTAAATTTCATGGTACGTGTATTTTACCACAAGTACAATTTTTGTAAAAATGAAATTAGAATAGACACTTCTCAAAAGAAGATATACAAACAGCCAAAAAAAAAAAAAAATGAAATTAAACATTGATTAGGCTCAATAGTAAAAAATAAAGTATCAAAGAATAACAGTCTGTAAGTATAGGAAGATACAACATAGATACTACAATCACCAGTGCTATAGGAAGTGAAAATACTCTAAAATAGAGCAACTCAAATTCAAGATCTCTGCCTAGTGTACTGCAGAGTGCCGTATGCTCCAGTAGAAAAAAGACAAGGGGAAATTCACACTGTAGTGATACAAAGTATGATGTATCAGCCCAATGGAAATTATACCATCATAAAAGTTATGCTTCAAGACTATGTAATAGGAGAAATGCTTCTGATACTATGTTTTAAGAAAATAGCACTGAAGGGTAAAATTGAAGTATGTGTATATGAACAAATATTAGCAGGGAAAGGCACAAACAAATTTATTTCCTTTGTTAGAGTAGATTTATTGTTCTCTGCTTTAAAATACATCTTTAAGGTTGTTAATATTTATACAACAAATAAGAAGGAAATCAGTAGAATAAAACAGAATTCCCAAGGTTCTCCCTCTCTGAAAAGGAATTGCTCTGAAAGCTACAAAATTATAATTTCTTATAGAAGAAATAACTTTACTTTGTCTCAGTTCAATGAACAAATAAAAACTGTGAATAAGAAAAGCCTAGAAAGACACCCTTTTTCAACTCAAAATGCTTCAGATTTGCCCAGCCATATCACATCATGTTCTCCTATTTCAATTGCTCTGACATCCCTCATGAGATACCTGGTCCTGCAGATCTTGTCTATGATTTTTCCTAAGAAGCTGCAAGCACTTGAGAGAAAGAACCCACTTCTGCTACCATGCAGTACCTAGGGCACTATTGGGTTACCACTCAAGTTTCTTGCCAGATTAATTCTAATTAAATATAGCCTGCTAAGGTATTATCTGACTAGCTGACATTTTTTAAACCAATTAATGTATCAAATAATGCTGAAGGGTGTGAGCTACATCACAAGAGACATGCACAAGAAAGCAAGGATGCAAGAGTTCACAAGATTGCAAATAGGTACAAGTGTTACAAATAGTTACAAGTGTTGCAAATAGTTCTCAAGTGTTGCAAGGTTCAATTCCTAGTTTCACCTCTCACATGTGTCTGTATATTGAGGAACAGCATCAACTGGAGGTAAAGCAGAACCTCTTTTTAGTGTTGCTTGATGTTAATTACATTGTAAGACTATTATGGGTCATTCTTGTCCCCAGAAGCCAAACATATACAGACAAGAGAAGCCTGACCTGACACCCTGGCCTGTGGGTGCTGTCAGCTCTGGGCTCTGATGTTATGAAATGTTTCAACTACTCCCCTGTACTACAAAGATTGTGATGTTCTGGCTCCTAATTTGCAGTAAAGTCCTCTTTCTCCATCTAGTCATCAGATTCAGTAGATGGGGGACTTGGGTGGGAAGCTGTATGTTCCTTTCTGTGGCAGGGAGCACAGAACAAATATAGTATCTGCAAATTTCTGAACATAAAAGGAAAGTGCATCTTAAGTTTTTCCTGTGTTCCCAAGTAGCGGCTGTATAAATAGCCCTGCAGTTCCAAACACACAGACAATTACAAATACCCAAAGAAAGACTCTGTCCACTACCATGGCCACATATTTCCAGTCATCTTCTACCTGAAATGCAAACAAAAAAATTAAAGCTTATTTTTAAAAATCACAATTATGGGAAACATGCACATTTTAAAGGAAGTATTAGTATTATTTTGGCGAGCCTGTGTTACCTATACAGAAATTTTGTTTTGGTGGCTCACACCTGTAATCCAAGCACTTTGGGAGACCAAGGTGGGAGGATTGCTTGAGTCCAGGAGTTTGAAATCAGCCTGGGCAACATAGTGACCTCATCTCTACAAACTAAAAATAAAATAAATTATCCAACTGTGATGGCAGGTGTCTATAGTCCCAACTACTCAAGAGGCTGCGACAGAAGGATCATCTGAGCCCAGGAGGTTGAGGCTGCAGTAAGCCATGATTGTGCCACTCACTGCATTCCAGCCTGGGCAACAGAGAGAGACACCAACTCAAAAAACAGAAAAATTGTTTTTGTTTTGTCTGCAGAGGTCAGATCATGCCCTCCATTAGTGCCTCAAGTCACTGAGAGTGTATGGAAGACTCCCATACTCCACTATTCCATGGGTCACCAGGGACCCTTCCTGACTGCAAGAAACACGCCCAAGAAATAGCTACTCAGACAACTCAACTCCTATCCTTTCACCACTGGGTATTCTGGCCCCATGGCAAGTCTGGGGAACAAGTTTGAAGCATGGAGTGAGGGCTGGGGGTGGAGGACATAGGGAATGCCTGAGGAACCCCTTATCAGGAATAAGCACCCCCCCTGGGGGGGGGGCCCAAGGGGTTGTTGACTATGGAGCGCACATTGCATTTCTAATGACCTTCCAGCTCCTGACCCTCCAACCTTTTGCCAGAGTCTCCATGATTGTGTCTTGAGAGACCTGCCTGGCAGTGAGTACGTCCACGGCTACTCTTTCTTTTAGATTTTATGAAGATGTCACCATGAAGGTGAGTTTCTTGGGCTTTCTTGTCCTTAGATGCATCCCCAAACCCCCACCTGAGTGGCAGGTGGTACTGGCATCTTCCCCTAGACCAGCAGGCAGACTTCAGTCTTGTAGAACGCTTTAACTAGGAGGTACAGATGCGGAAGCTGCAGTATGGGGCCAAACCCAGATACCTGACCCGAGTTTCAGATGCCCTCAGCTGGTTGCCTGCACAGTGGGGGAATGTGGGCAGGAGTCTCTCAAACCCTCCCTCTGGAGAATGAGGGAGGTATGTGCTGATATAGTTAGACTCCGGGCAGCAGGAGCATGATATGTGAATGCTAAAAATATCCCAGGGGCTCATTCCAGCAGCACTGAAATCCTTCTCAAGTAGGACAAGTGGGCCTGGACCTGCAGGAACCAAGGCACCCCCTACCATCTCCCTCCTCCTCCCATTCCCCCACCGCCTCCTCATACTCCACCACCCCTACCTCCTTCCAGCAATCCTGGGCTGCACGCAGCTGGCACTCACTTCTCCCTCCCTTTTGGGGCAGCCTTCCCCTTCCCACCTTTCCACCTTCCACTATGTCTTGCACAAAGGCTCTTGGTTTCATCAAACAAGTTTGTCTGAGTGTGTGTGTAACCAAATTTCACCCGAGTTCCCATTTCTGGAGCTGGAGAGTCACTCTGGGGCTGCACCTGCCCCAGCCCTCGTGGTCCAACCTGCAGGCCCACCCACCACTGCACACCGCAGGACCAGTTTGGAGTGAGGCCCATGGCCCTCGTGTACATAACTCCCAGGATGTCTGCTGTGTCTGAGCACCCAGGCCTGGAGGGCACAGGCTGGCTGTGCAAAGGAAGCATAGGCTTACCTCCTTGGTTTCATTGTGGCTCTTCATGTTTTCTGCGATGAACTGAACACTGTCCATCACATCTTCAACCTCGGGCACGTGCTCTGAACTTTCGGCCATCCACTGTAAAGGCTGGTGACTTACCCTTCTCTTGCTGGGGGCAAGCTCACTTGACTTATGACAGTGGAAGCATTCTTTAAGAAGTCTGGGCTCCCCACAGGTGGTAAACTTGACCTTGGCAGGCCTTCTGGAAATGCTCCTGGGAATCTTAGTCGAGCCCAGCTCCTGTGCCTTGTCCAGAGGCCGCCTCATCATCAGGATCTGGGGCAGCAACTGCAGGAACATGGTCTTCACCCACTTGGGCATAGTGTGTGTGGCTGGGGTGCGATAGTGTATGTTCAACACAAACACGGTCACCACAATGGACAGGGTGACAAAGATCATAGTGAACAGCAGGTATTCACCCACCAGCGGGACCACCAGGGAGGTGGACGGGATGGTCTCTGTGATGACCAGCAAAAACACAGTCAGAGAAAGCAGGACTGAAATGCACAGTGTCACTTTCTCACCACAGTCTGAAGGAAGGTAAAAGACCAACACAGTGAGAAATGAGATAAAGAGACAGGGGATGATCAGATTAATGGTGTAAAACATCGGCAATCTCCTGATATAAAAAGAGTAGGTGATATCTGTGTATATCTCTTCACAGCAGTTGTATTTTATGTCATGCTTGTAGCCAGAAGCATCAATAATTTCCCATTCACTGTTTTCCCAAAAATCGTTCATGTCCACTTTGGACCCAATGATGAGGAGATCAATTTCAGCTTTGTCATATGTCCAGGAACCAAATTTTAGGGAACAATTTTGATGATCAAAAGGGAAAAAAGTGATATCCATAGGACAGGAACTCTTGAAAATGGCAGGTGGAGTCCAGGTGATTGTGCCATTGTATTTAAGGAGAGCTTTGGTCTTGCCTTCAACTTGGAAGTCCCCAACAGCACTGCAAAGCAAACAAACACCGTCAGTGACCCTCCCATGCTGTGGGCTCACAGGCACCAAGAGCAACCCTGTAAAGAGACTATGGCATCAGACAGCAATACTTGTTATAGAGGACAATGTCAGGCTTCCAGATCTTGTCTGCTGGAACACGAAGTGTCTTGATACCATCATATTCCATGGGATCCCAGTGCAATCTATAGTCACTCCAGACCTAAAAGAAATACAAATCAGTTTTTAAAATTACTTGGTAACTTTTTCCAATGTTAACTTTATGATAGTTCAACAGGTTTTTTGAAATAAATAAATAAATTCTTATTTGAAGAGTATATTGGTTTCTATCCAAGTTGGGAAACTATGTCCATGGGTATCAGGGAGCTAAATAGCTGAGCTGATTTTGGCAAATGTTTAATCAGATGACTATCTGCTGATTATTAGTGAGTTGGCCCAGGTTATAGACTCAACTTCCATATTCCATAGATAACATTCAACTGGAACAGCTATATATACATATATATGGTGTATATATAGTGTATAATGATGAATTTGTTACAAAATCTGTGAAGCTTTTTTTTAAAGGAAGAAAGAAGTTCTGACTAATAAAACCAGCTGGTAAGACTCTCCTACATGTTCCTGAGCTCAGCTGCTGACTTCTTTAAGCCTGGGACAGCAGGGATCAAAAAGCGGGCAGGTATCAGACCTGGGAGCTCAAGTTACAGATAAAAGTAGAAGATTTGAGAGCAGCAACCAGGAAGGACAGGAGTCTCTATGTCAGAGAGACTTTTGTCACTAGGCTTCTGCACCTGTGAAGCTTGCACTCAGTTAGCTATTACTAGAGGTGAACATTAGGATTTGGAGATAACAGAGTAGAGAATATTTTATATTCCATCACAAGTTGGGAGTGGAAGGAGGTAGTCCTAGTAGACTTTATCCATTTGACATTATGAAGCTGACACATGACTCAGACACATACGTGACGCAGCCACAAATTGGTTTCCATGATCTGGTTCACTTCATCCTGTGAAAAAGAAATAACATGCTTAACCTTGAATATACTTGCCATAGAGGTGTGTCTTAGAGCAAGAATTACAACTAAAAAGCCAAATCCAACTTCTTCATGCTAATGGAGGGCAGCAAGAAGATTGAACAGGCAGTGTATCAAAAGCACTCAGGATGCAGCCAGAGACACCATATTCACATCTGGGCCCAACTGCTGACTTGGAAGGAGAATGTGGTTTAAACTGTCTTTCAAAGCCAGTTGAAGCCTCACCTCTTCCGTGAAGTCTTCCTGAGCTCTCAGCCCTTAACAGTTTCTGATTCCATGACAGAGAAAAGGGGGTGGGAAAGAGGGAGGGGAGCACTACAGATGGTGAGATGCTGTTCCTGCCCATGCCCTAAAACCTCCTCCCACACTGGTACCTCAGGACCCTCCAGGCTCTGAGTCCTGAGCACACCTGCCCAGGATTGTGCCTGAACACGTCAGCCTCAGCTCACCATGGAGTTTCCAGCTGGAATCTGCTGTTCACCAACTATACACCCCATGCCCTGCCCAAGCCACCTCTTCACTCATTCACTTCAGGAGTATGTCTCGTGTAACCACCATATGTTCCATAGACACTGGGGCTGCAGCAGCAGCAGGGTGGAGAAAGGGTCTGCCTGCAAGTGTCTTGGCTGTTAGTGGGGGAAACATGGAAATGATGGCAGATACATAGCATAATAGAAATAAGATGGTGATAAGTCCTATGAAGAGGAACAAAGAGAGGAGTGGTATAGACATACACATACACACATGCACACATCTCACACTCACACACATCTGTTTTAGACAGGATGGTTAAAGAAAACTTCTCTGAGGAGGTCATGTTTAGGCAGATACTCAAATGACCAGAAGAGAGTCGGGGGTTTCTGGACCCTCGTGGACCAGGACCTGGTCTGAAAAATTGTATTCTATCTGACTCCAGATCACATCACTGGGCATGTGCATTGTCAGTCTAGCAGGAGCAGATGGGGAACACACAACACCACCCACACTCCTGGGCCATCACCATGTACCTCTTTCTTGGAAAAATCCATAAGTTGGCATGCCAGCTGCATGAAAGTCTTTGAGTTACGGTTTCAAATGGACTCATTCCTGGAACTGCATCAATAGACTCAGAATGCAGGTCAGAAAGGTCAAGTGGGCTGCATTTCATAAGAGTCCTAAATTTGTCATTTCAGCTATACTGAGTCAGCAAAAACACTGGACAGGGGCTTTGTCCCAGTGAAGGGGACAGTGGACATGCTCCTGCATGGGAGGAAATCAGAAGATGTTATGGCCACAATCATTTTGCCCAGCAGCAAATACACTTCCATGTAGAGCTCTCTGGAGCTCCAGGGCCAAGCTGGGGCTCAGACAGCAGCAGGAGACCCAGAATGGAGACCTAGAGCACCCTCCCCCAGGCCCAACTGACAAAATCCAACAATTGCACTGCTGGACATTTATCCCAGAGACATGAAGGTTGATGCTTAAACAAAAACCTACACAAATGTTCACAGCAACTTTATTTGTAATAAACCAAAACCAGAAATCAGCCCGAATGTTCTTCAACAAGTAAATGGTTAAACAAACTGTGGTGTATAAATACCATGGAATACTTCTCAGGCACAAGAAGGACCAAATGACTGATACAGTCAACAGCTTGGATATATTACTAAGAAATGGTGTAAGTGAAAGACCCAGTCCCAGACGTTTCTATACTATGTGGTTCCATTTATATACAACATTGTTGCAACAAGAATGGAGGACAGATGAGTAGGGGATACTGGGAAAAGCGTATAAGGGATCTCTTTATTACTTTTTGCAAGTGCAAGTGAATCTATGATGATCTCAATAAATACAATTTCAATTAGAAATACATTTGCCAAGTCTCCTTTGCAGCTGGAGGTAGATGGGATGGAAAGTGGAAGCTGTCAGCAGGACTTCTGAGAAAGCACCTTAAGGAAGTCATGGTATCTAGTACAGACCTCCTTTGCCCTTCTCATTTTTCATACTTCTTGCCAAGAATGTGAATGTGGTGAAGGAAACACAGAAGTTATCACGAACCACAACAGCGAGGAAAGAAGCCACATGCAAAGGATGGTGAAATAGAAAGACAATTGGAAGCTTGGTCACTGTTGCCATGCCTTTCAAACCTTTGGAATTAGTCCATGTGGGTGACAACCCCTGGAGTTGTGCAGTGCATAACATGGATAACTAAACATAATGGTGCAACCACCAACACCATGAAACCACCTGGTATCAACCTCCTGGCCTGTTAACCTTTGGATTTCTGTTGCATAAGAAAGAAAAAAACGTGTAAGCAAGACTTTGAAGAAATACTATACAATGAGGTGATCCTTACTGACTTTAGAGGAAACTCAGTTCAGTTACCCACTCACAACAGCCAGTCCATGGCAAGAATGGCTTCCAGCTCAGCAGGAGACCAGGAACTAGTACTCAGCTATTGAGAGTGGGAAGAGGGTCAGCACAGACACTAACAAATACTTATTAAAGGAATGGGTGGGCCCGTCAGGTGAGGGAAAACATCTGAGCCTTTCTTTTAAACCAGTCCAAAACAGTGCATGTACACTCCCAGCCTGGCCAGAGTTGGACCACTGGTGGGCCGGCCTCCTTCACCGAGAGGCTTGGACTAGAAATGTGGGCAATCCTGACTCACACCTATAATGAAGGTCTTTCTCCAGCTACACCCAGAGCAGTCATGATGTCTAGTCATGGAGCAGAGTCTGGGATAGAGGGCACCTTTCCCCTCCTTGCTGCTCCTCTTCTGGGTACCACAACCTCAGGAATGCTCACCAGCAACCCTCTTGAGAGATGCTTCCAGTATGCCCTACTTCCTAAGCCTGCTTCTTGCTGGAGTCTATCTGAGCCCCCAGAATCCCACTGGCCCTGCCCTCTCCCAAGGAGCCTCTATTGTACCTGCACCCCAGGCCTCACCACCTCCTCTCCCAACAATAAGAGAGGAAAGACTATTCAAAAGAAAGAACAATGGTGCTGCTTGCCCTTGAACATGGTAGCAGTAAATTAAATAAGATCTTCAAATTCACATCCTCCTTATTTCAGTGTTGGATGGAATCACATATGAAAGAAAGTGAACTTTTTCTTTCTTACTAAACACAGACGACTGAAAGTAATTCTGTAACTGTGGAATAAGGAGGCCCAGGCTTTGGAGCTGACTCACTTCCACCACTTGGTCACCAGATGACCTTGGGAAAGTCACTTCCTGAGCTTGTGTCCTCAGCAGTAGATGCAGGTGATGGCCATGAGGTGTCACCATCATGTGGCGCATATCACAGGCACTGCACAGTCAGCTCCCTTCCACTTCTTAAGCCTGTTTCCTAAACTGGTTCTGGAAGCATTTCCAGGAAAACACCACTTCAAGGTACAACGACAGCCTGGCTGGGGACAGTGCCACCCCCTACACAGATTCACAGGCCGCCCTGGTATAGACGCTTGTTCATCTGTCATAAGTCCCCTTATGTGCCACAAACAGACAGTCAGCAGGCCAGGCGTACTCACCACATTGGCCAGCTGGGTGATGGCCACCTCAAAGTGCACAGTAACAGGGTCTGACACGTTCTCCACGGGCCTGATGAACTGGTTGTAGTGAGAGAACAGCTTGTGGAAGAGCCTCTCTTCAGTGGCACACCCTGCACATCCTGCAGGGTAGAGCGAGTGTTAGGCTCAGTGGGTCAGGCTCCAGCACCACCCCAGTCTTGCGCCTTGCTAAGCCTGGGTGTGCACCTTGCCACACAGCAGAGATGAAAGAGCAATACCTATCAGACCTGACTACCTTGCAGGTTGGAATGTGAACTATTAGTGCAGTAAATCACGGAAATAATAGGGAATTACCCAGAACACATGATGTTCTAAGAAAAGCCCAAATCTAGTTATTTAGAAGGTCCTTGTGACCTTAAAAGGTGGAGAGATGGTGATCAAAACTCATGACCAATCTCAGCCCTCCAATCTTAGCTCATGCTTTGTTTAATCATGGTTGTAAAAGTACATAAAGCATCTTATCAAAGACAAGCACATGTCCTCTTTTAAGGGACCCATGCTATTTCTTAAGCAGTTTTTTTCCTAATAAATTATGTCTTAAACTATACTTTGGACTCACTTGAAATTTCATTCTGTGGCAGGGTCAAGAACTCAGTGTAACTATACCCATACTACCCAGCATTAGAAGAGGCAGACACAGGCAGATAAAATCACTGCTTTTATCACTAATGCAACTCACAGTGTTACTGATGGAACTAGAAGCTTTCCAGTATTAAGGAAAAGTTCTACCCTTTCTTGTCCAAAATACAGTTTCAACTGCTGTGTGTGTCTACACCAGCAGGTGGTTGACTTTGAGGAGCCAGCATCCTGCAAATGGAAATAACTAGTAATTTCATTAAGGTCTCCACAAGTAATACTCTTTCTAAAAATTAACTCTGAAATGTAATCATTTTGGAGATTTGTGAGAATGCAAGATTTTTAAGGCAAATTTACTTACAATACTTTTTTAAATTTTGAAATTGGTTCCTAAATAATAGCATTTTTAGTCATTAAATTTTAGACAATAATTTTATGTATATCTCTTTGTATTTTTCCAAGAATACACTAAAGGTAAGCTATCTGTCTTTATTTGATTTAATTCCTTTCCTAGTTTTCCCTCTACATTTTCTCTTGTAGAATTCGAGTTTGACTCCTCATATATCATCCACAAATATTTATATCTTGAAAGAAAATAAATCCAAGGGCTTGAAAAGCTCATCAGGCAAAATAAATGGAGGACAGTTGTTACTAAATGAAACAAGTTGCTTGATAAATGCCTTTGGAAGCACTGAAGCACAGGGATGTCAGCAAGAAAGAAACATTTTTCATGTAAAGCATCATTCTTGCCATCATAATAATGAGAAAAATAATTTTTCATAAAGCAGACCAAAAATTCCTCCTTGTTGCCCATATTTTTCCCCACTGGGACATTTTAGATAAACCCTCCATCAGTCTTGAAAAGCAAGTCCCCTGCAAACCTAACAGCACATGGAAGTGGGATTTTGTTCATCAGAACAGCAGTTACCCATTTCTAAGTTTTAACTTTTAAAAGGAATGATTTTACTCCTGGAACACATTTCAGCATAGTAATATGACATGTCTCTTGAAAACAACCCTACAAAATGGAAGAGTTCATTGACTGAATAATGGCATCAGCTAACAAGTCACAATTTTGAACAAAATACTAAATATAAGTACAAATAAATAAGTTGGATACATCATACATCCACAGCAGAGATGGATAGGAAACTGCATCATTCTTCTTATTATATTTTAATTGGGTAAATAAAATATGATTTATAAGATGTTTTATCATCCTCCCAACCCTATCCTGTCCCCCAAATGTCATCCAACATGCTAAATCTAACTAATAAAAACCAAGTAGATTAACTGGTAGTTGTAGCAGTGGTGGTTCCTATGTAGACACTTTACATATTAACCCATAGAATCTTTCATATCTGCTCAACCACAACTAGAAAAGAGAGCAAATATATGTAGCTAAAAAGGGAATAGAAGATAAAGCAAAAATAAAACCTACCTTTAAAGAAAGGTATGAAAATACACAGCCAGAGACATAAGCCCAAATGAAGGAATCCCTGACCCTTGCTGGTCAGCATGATTAAAACACACTTTGATTTCCTTTTTTTAGGGTAAAAATTTGTGGAAAACAAAGAACTATCAGTCAGCTGCAAGCGCCCAACCTTCACATCATCAGAGCCCACTGCAATCCATGCATGTCTTCTGAGAAATCAAAACATTCACAGGACGTAACACAGTAGTTCCCAGGATCAGAGACCGAGGCAGACACGAAGGGCAAATGAAAATAATTCAATCTGATGTCAGATGAGTCATCATGTATCCTGTCAGTAATCTAGATCTCTTTGCCTGCAAGAAAGCAGAGAGGGACTCTGGGCAGACAGGACCGGGAGGGTAGAATGCTATTAGCGGCTGAGATCTCTCTGCACTGCAATCTCAGCCATAGTCCTTAGGGGAGTAAACGCACATTCACTGAGCTCCAACGATAGGTAATACGTGCTAGGTCCTAGCTAGTGTGCTCTGATTCACTGAGTTCTCCAGTTAATCAGGACTTAAGCTTGTTACAAAACCTCCTAAACTATAAACCCCCATCCCTGTCTTAACAAGCATAGGCTAAAGAGAACAGAACTAATTTTTCTTTTCTGACTCCAGGGCATCTAGTGCTTTGTCTTTCTGAGTTCTGGGGTCACCATTCAGGACTAAAGATTAGGGATCAGGGAATGACCGGAACGGATGCCATCTGGACATTCTCATTTATTCAATCATCCTTGTCATCAATTGATTTTCTTATTATTTTCTCTGTAAGTTAAGTGCCAGTAAGATTCTAATTAATTGTGTCTTCTAATCTGATGTTAGCGTTGGTTAGAGAGGAGTTAGAACTGGAGATGAGCCGGGCTCGGTGGCTCAGCCTGTAATACCGTGCCTTGGGAGGCTGAGATGAGTGAATTGCCTGAGCCCGCGAGTTCGAGACCCGCCTGGGAAACTTGGCAAGACCTCATCTCTACAATAAATCAAAAAAATTAGCCGGCTGCGGTACTGTGTGCCTGTAGTTCCAGCTACTTGGAAGGCTGAGGTGGAAGGATCACTGGAGCCCAGCAGGTCAAGGCTGCGGTGGCTGGGAGTGTGCCACTGCACTCCAGTCTGGGCGACAGAGTGAGATTCCAACTCAAAAAAAAAAAAAAAAGAACTGGAGATGATTGCTCAGGCCTTCCCACCCAACATTCTATGACATCACTACTGATACAATACATTTTGCACACACAAATTCAGAGTAAGAACTTCCCTCAAAATCCTGTCAACTTCACCACAATTGAGGGAACAAAAGAGGAACTAGCACTTACTTAGCACCAAACTTCAACCAGACACAGGGTTGGGTATTTCAGATATGCCACCCACAATGTTGCTCAAGTTCTCCCCTCAGCAGAAGCTTTGTTTTTGGTTGAAGTGTCATGTGGAGTCTGCAGATGATAAAAAGAAAAAGTTTGGACAGCACTTCACCACAATGGGTAAAATGCTACCTCACACCCAAATAGGACAACGACTCAGTAGTTTCTAGAGTAAAGTCCAAATTGAGTTGGCTGTTTTCTGAAGCTTAGGTCTTAATGAGTTGTTCTTCATGCTTTCTGATAGATTTATGTTGCAGTCTGAAGAAAACTGTTGTTAGGCCAGGTGGGTTGGCTCAAGCCTGTAATCCCAGCACTTTGGGAGTCTGAGGCAAGTAGATTGCCTGAGCCCAGAGGATCAAGACCAGCCTGGAAGACTTGATGAGACTTTGTCTCCACAATATATATTTTAAAAAATTAGCCGGGCATGGTAGCACGTGCTCGGGTGACTGTGAGCGTGCCACTGCACTCCAGCCTGGGTGACAGAGTAAGAGTCTGACAAAAAAAAGAAAGAAAGAAAGCTGTTGTTCACATCATTTGTTCCATCCCATATAAATAGTCTTTCTCTGTAGTTCATCACCTGTCAGCTTAAAGAGCCACTCTGGAGGAAGTTTCCTTCATAATGCACACAAAGTCAGGCCCTGCTCCATTCAGGAGCAAGCTAACTCACTGAACCAAGGGCACAGAATGGGAGGATGGGGGGCTTTGTGAGTAAGGTCACGGAGGGGCCTCACCAGAAGCAAGAAATGTTGGGGAAAGAACGTGGGGTTTCGAGTCATGCAAACCTGGTTATGGATTCTGGTACTGAGACTCACTGTGGGGGAACACTACTCAGGTTACTTAATCCTTGTACCTGAAACTTGTTACCTCAGCCTTGTGCTCATTGTGTTTATTCAGACATCTTTGTCAACGACTGGTTTTCTTATTATTTTCCTCTTTGTGAATTCAGTTCCAGTAGGATTTTGATTCATTAAGCCTTCTGATTTAATGCTCTCTTACTACAACAAGTAGGCAACACAATTAAGTAAGTCTTGGGGTCTGAATTTGTAAGAATATATTTTGAATGTTTACAAAGAAAATGCATTCTCTGTTCAAAGAAAACATTTAAATTATGTCCCTCTCATCAGAAAAATGCTTGAGATTTGTTATTGAATTATAGGTGCAGATCCTGCTTCAAATTCTTTTTGAAAATTGCAGAGATAGATAAAAGCGAAGCAAATGCATAGGGGGAAAAAGCATGCTTTCATAAAAACTAATTCAAGAAACAAAAAATTAAAGGCATTATGTCTTTTTCTGATGTTTCCATTTTCATATTCTAGAAGTTAGCCTTTGTTCAGCCATATTGTTGAACCAGTAAAAGGTTTAGTGTACTGTATAGTGGAGTGGGAATGAGACAGGGAGGCAGGGAGGTACATAGAGCCCTGGGTGGGGGAGGTTAACTAACACTGGAAGAGTTTCTCCCTCCCTTCCTCTATTCCTATGCCCTTTTCCTCCTTCCTCTTAGCCAATTCTAAAAAAATAGGAAGAAGCAGTGGATCTTAGCCTTTTCAAGGCCATAAAACTGATGAAAACTATGGATCCTAAAACTCTTCCCCAAGTACACATGCATATCAAATAAAAGTTTACCTATAATTTCTGGGGACTCACAGACCCATAAAGGGCCAACCCTGGGTGGAAGGTAACTGCAGCTGATTTTATAGTTTTCCTCAGTATTAGGCTCCAGTCACTCCATACAATCACTTTTTAAAATAATACGTTCTTAGCCAGGCAAGGTGGCTGGCATCTCTAATCCTCTGGCACTTTGGAAGGCTGAGGTGGAAAAATCACTTGTGACCAGGAGCTTGAGACCAGCCTGAGCAACTTAGTGAGGCCCTGTCTCTATAAAATATCAAAATTAGCTAGACATGATAGCTCACACCTGTAGTCCCTGCTACTTAGGAGGCTGAGGTGGAAGGAATGCTTGAGCCCAGGAAGTTGAGGCTGCAGTGAGCTGTGAATGCACCACTGCACTCCATCCTGGGTAGAAAGGTAAAACCCTGTCTCTGAAAAAATAAAATAACATACTAAAAAGCTAATGTGTTAGAAAACTAATATACTTAGAGAATAATTGTTGGGTTTCTTTTTTGGTTTTATTTATAGAAGCTAACCTCACTTTTGAGGTTTTCTGAGGGAAAAAAGGGATAATATGTAATATGAAACTTTCATTATAAAAATGATTTTAAGTCTCCTCACCCTGCCACTTGCTAAATTAAATCCATTGCCTCATTCTGTTATAAAAACAAGGGGGACTATTATATGGTAATATAAAATTTGTTGTGTTCTTGTTTGAAGTTTGAGGGGGTTTTGGCATAGAAACTGGATGAATGAACATTCTGTTGACCTTTCTCCAACTGTCAGTTCGTTTTAAATTCAAAACAAGAACACTCTTTAGTTGTCCATAAAGAAATATAACGGAAATGACCCTTTAAACATGCATTATTTATAAATCCACTGCAGCAAAAACATCATCAATAATGGAATGATACCATATGCCTTTTTTAAATACCCAGTGTTGCTTACTCTCATGGGTTCAACACCCCCAATTGGTAGCATTTCACATCTACCACACTTGACATGTACACATCATGCTGGGAAAACAAAACAGCAACAGGATGAGTATTCAAATTAACTGCTAATTTTAAACCACAAAGAAACATTTAATAAATTGCTAACTATAAGAGGTACTCAAATTAACCTTACAATGCTCATCCTTATCCACCTAAATTTTAAGAAAAAAGGAGAGCCTTAGAATTCCTGGGGTGGGGTCAAGCAGTAGAAGAAAGTCAAAACTGTGGAAATGTTGAGGCACTGAATATTGATTTCAGTATCCCCTGAGCCCTTCCTGTGTGCAGATCACCATGCTGAGGCTGTTGCATTCTCTTTAATCCTCACAACAACTCTATGAAGTGAGACTCAACTTTGCAAGTTAGGATCCTGACAGTCAGGAACGTTAAGCAACTCAAAGATCCATCCATCCCAGCTAGTTAATGGCTAGGTTAGAATCCCATCTAAGTTTGTCTGAATCTAAGCTAAAGCTTTAAACTTAAAGCAATCCTGAAGTGGTTTTAGACCCATGAATACTTTTTAAGTTTAATATATATTTAGAGAGCTGTTACTGAAGTGGATTGTGGTCAGCACCACCTTCGCTGTCATTCGAATGATACTGTAAGCTGATGGAGTGAGGCTAATTTGTAAAAGAGGTTGAAACAGCAGGCATGATGTCCGGGAGAAGGGAAAGCCAAGGAGATTGTCCCAGGTGAGGCACAGGAAAACATCAGGCAAGTTTCCAACCCTGGGAAAGTGGGCAGTTACAGTCATCTGAGGTTTGGGACAGTTTCTGTGGCTGTACACTGAGCATCATGAGACTGAGAGCAGGCGAGTGGCACATGGACCATGCTCTTCCAGCAGAATGATGCCCATATAGACCTTAGGGAATTCTCTAACTTCCCTACTGCCTTTTCATTGCACTGTACAGATAGCAATAATCTCTGGGCCCTTCAAGGTAAAAGATAATATGCTTAAATGTCAAGTCCTTAATAGGAAGAAACAATTCAATCACCACTGTCCACTGCAGTAGACCCAGCTCTGAGACTGCAAACAAGAATAGCAATATCAATCTACAAAAACTGGAAACATTTCCCCTGAAAACCAGAACAAGACAAGGCTGCCCACTCTCACCCCTCTTGTTCAACATTGTACTGGAAGTCCTAGCTAGAACAATTAAACAAGAGAAGGAAATCAGGGGTATCCAAATAAGAAAAGAGGAAGTCAAGTTATCCCTCTTTGCTGATGATATGATCCTATACCTCAGAAATCCAAAAGAATCTGTTAAAAATCTGCTTTCACTGATAAAGGACTTTGGCAAAATCTTGGTGAA